TCCCAGATGTGCATGGGTAGGTGGTACAGGTGATGGGGCACATGCAATGCAGGAAAACATTTCCATTTACATTCAGCTGGAAAGTAGATCTTGCAGCGTGGAATTGATAACTGCCATGTGGACCATACTGCACCCCATGCCACTCACCTCTCATTCTTAACATCAAAAACAATATTAGAGTAAAAATGTTTGCAATGAAATTCCTAAGGAAATTTTACATTTCAATTAATATTTATAATGGGTTTTTTAATAAGTTTTAGGTCAAGATGTCTCATAAATCTATTTTCCACAGAGCACAGAAAATATATACTTATTGTGTCTTTGTGGTATGACCGGATCTAGTCTTACATCCAGCAGCCAGCTGAGGCTGCTTGTCTATTATAGTCTCTTCCACCATTCCTGACAAATGAACAAATAACTAGATGCCCTGTGAAACATTTTAAATAGAACTGTCTCCTGAAAAAGCCGTTACTGACAGAGACAGGTTCGATCCAGATCAAGGGAACCTGCTGTGGAGTAGAAAAGATCAATACTGGTTGCTGTCTTTTTTATTTCAGATTTCTTTTTTTTAACTAAGTGTAGGTAAAGATTATGATGACTAAAGTAAAGCAGAAAACAAGCAATCTATGAACTGAAGTGCATCCTTCTTATTAAACCTTATTGTGCTCTTACAGCAGTAGCTGAAGCTGTTGCTATGAACTCTATCATGTAAGAGGATTTCAAAACAGCATTTAAAACTATGTATTAGCTAGAAACCACTTTGCCCACAAATTCTGAAAGAGCTGCAAGTAGGTTTTGAAAAGGAACCAATGTATTTCATGGCAGAGTAAATTAGCTGCTCTTTTTTACTTTTGAAGTATTTGATCAAAATCCAGTACTGAACATAGTGTCTTAAATTAATTCTATTTAGAGTGCTCCTCTGCTGGTTACAACATGGATCCTATAGCACCAACTACCCCCATTTCCTGTTGTGAAACATGCACAAGGCATATTTCCAACGCCAGCTGGAGGCGCTGAGGTCTCGTTCTTATCTTTGGAAAAAAGGCATGGGGTTTGTGGACAGATCTAAAACGTGATAGTTTTTATTTCTTGTATTCAAATAGCATCATCCACTCTGCTTAGCAATTGAAAATAGCAATTAAAAGTCGCCAAGACCAAATCAGCCCAGCAATGAAAAACTTTGACAGGTTTTAGGAAGCAAGGCTGGCATTATAGCCACCATATTCTTAATAGCCTTTGGCTAAGTCCAGGAATTCAGTTTGCAATAAAATCAATCCCCTACAATCCACAAGTATTAAATTCATCATTAGAATGTTGTTTTCCCCTTCTCAAACCTTCCATGTAACAAGCAGCTCAGTAAGATGAACAGCATTTGTTACTGAGAACAGCCTTAAGGAAAGCAAAAAGAGCAAATCTGGAAAACAGATTCATATTTTTCTGGAAATGGGTAGTATTCAGAAAGCATTTAGCAAGTTCAAGGTCAACTTGTTCTCCTTCTGTATACTATTCATAACAGGCATTTGACAACTCAGTGACAGTCAATCTAGCAGCTGAACTGAATATATTGGGCCATCCAGTTTAAATAAAAACTAAATCTTCATTGTGAAATGAGCACAACAAACCCAAGAAGAGCAAAAGGCTTTCCTGTTTCTGAAATTCCAAATAAGATCAACAAATTACAAATGAGTTACAAATGAGAGGAAATAGATCTAATTTGGATAAATAAGCAGATGTATGTATAAATGGCAAGAGATCATGATCCTTCACACCATGGTGGTGTTGTCTTCTCACTTAAGCAAAATTTAATTATCCTGAGCATTCTGCAGATTTTTTTGTCAGTATACGAGGTCTGCAAAATTATTTAACGTCAATAAGATATTTACATTTTGCAGTTACAATTACTCTGAACTTGTTTTTTCGTTCCCTAAACAAGACCCCTCTGGAGTTTATTTAATATTGACTGTTTCTCAATATGCTCTGGGATACAGTAAAAGGTATCCTCAGTTGGCTGTTGTCCTACTGGGAAGTGAGGAGATTACACTCACTCATTGGATTGGAATAATGAGATTTTCATCTGCCTTCAAAACTTGGTGAAAATAGCTGCTCAGGGAGCCACAGAGACATATGTTTTGGAAATCCTGGGGATATTGAGTTTTGTGTCCATGCAAATTCTGAGGTTGGGTCCATTTTCAATTCTAATACTTTTCTTTTTAGTTATTGTTATCATGGGTCTTAGAGAACTCTTTGTCATGTACAATCCAAAGAAAATGGATAAACATAACGTATACCTATCTTTTATAACAAATTCTTCTAACTAAAAATTGATCTTAAATATGGTGTATGTTGAAGAGCAACAGTCCTAAATAACCAGCTTGTACCATCCCTCCATCACTTCCAAATGGCACAGATATTTCTAACAGTGAATGTGCATCATATCACCAATTGCTTTTTCTCTTTCAGCAAGACATACAATGAAAATCAACTAGCAATTGTTTTGTGGGTGAGTTCACAGATAAAAGATTGACTATAAGTTGAGAGGAGTATCGAGTTCACAATATACTTGGCTCCTTTTTGGAAACCACTACCTGATTTTGTTTTTAAAGCTGCCATGGGTTTTCAACAGGATGCTTACTCTAAGCACTCAGTATCTTTCATCAGCTAGCACCCACTGAATGACTACCAGGGATGTCAGTGTCAAATTCCTCTGCAGATGTCCAGCTGGACTCTCTACAGGGATTTATCTAACAGGGCTTGCTGCAGGAATGATGTTACTAACAGTTCCACCTTCCCTGCTTTGCATCTTTCAAATATCATCTATAAATATTTTGAATATGCTCATTATTTAAAATTTTAGACCTCCTCCCCAATTTTGTCAAATATTTTAGAAGGATTTCTGCCTACAGTTATAATGTATGTCTGCACTCCAGGAAGACAGCTGAAAGCACAATGGCTCTGCCTCTATATTTGGAAACATCTGCTGTTTCATTTCCATGATGCACAGTGATGTGCAGTTCTGAGAGGAAGAACAAGTCTGGCACAGGAGACATTAGTCTAGGGTTAAATATTTTGATACTGAAATTGGGATTCCCTCTTATCTAACCCTCTGCTAGTACTCCTTCTTTGAGTAAAGAGTGCTGAAATAGTGGCTCAATGGTCCTCTGACTGTTTGTTATGGAAATAAATCCCCCCCTAGTGAGGCAGCCTTTTCAGGTATCAGCAATCGGCTTTCTCCACATCATTTTGTCATTCTTGAGAGAAGCATAGAAACAATAAAGTGTGATATGGAGTGAAAACAACTAAATTGACTTAGGAGGAGCTTTGGTTTGAGGAGTCTCTAGATTGAGGGCGAGATGTTGAGGATGTGGGAGAAGATTTGCTTTATTAGAAGTTCTATGAAACAATCGTGCCAAAACTCCCATCATATAAAAGCCTGGTTGCATATTCAGGAGAAGTGCCCTTTGATGAGTTGAGAAAGCCTGGCAAAATTCTATTATTTATAGTGGTTTATTGTTTTTAATAGCCTGTCAAATAATTTGAGGAGAAAGTTGTGTGAATAATCTCAGCAACTCTATATGGGGGGCTAAGGCAAGTTGTAGCACTGGGTGCTGGGAATAGTTTTGACTCTTATCCTCAGCTGACCTAAAAAAGGGCCCTTTCATAGATATTTCCATGATCTTCCTGTTGGATCCAGGACCTGGCAGCACCATTACACCTATGGACATTTGTTCCAGATAAAAGGCCAGAGTTAAATCTTCCATGGCCTCCAGGCCATGGGTTTCATTCTTCCCCATAGTGATTATCAATGGAAAATTTAAGTTAGAGCCAGGAGAGGGTGTGGGGGCTTAGGAGACCTGGAATAACACATCTGGGAAATTGTTATTTGAGGTTGAGTATCTTCTGAGTGTGTCTGTCTGCAACAAAACTGTTAAGTGTACTGTAAGAAATTTTGGAGAATGTTAAAAATTTTATTTTTGAGAAGCCTTCATACAAATTGTATTTAAAATTCCCTTGTGCATTCATTATGTAGGAACTTTGTTATGTGTTTTCTTTTAGAGCAATATAATTCTATTGGCCAGGAATTCCAGGTTTTAAAAGACTGGGGCATGAAGAACTGCCTTATTTCTACAGAGAGAACAGACTCTTTTTTCCACTCTAAAATTTAGAACTTGGTGGAGTCTTTCTTCAGCAAAACTAAAAAGGTGCACATTTTTATCTGACAGATTCAATTTGATTTGTCGAATTTTCTGAATCTCTGTGATCAAAGCAACAAAGATCAAACTATTCCATCACTTGACCTGAAAGTAATACAATACAGTTTAATATAGCAACAATATTTTGCCCTAGATGTTATGTTAAGGCTGTCTATCAATAATTCAGCTCTTATATAAAATATTCTTGCAAATAAGATATTGTACCTTAAGAACAAATGATCTGTGCAGATATATTTTCAAAGAGTACCAGTCTCTCTGTTTATGCCAGTGAAGAGTGAAAGAAACCCAAGGGTGAGAAATAGAACAAGACAAGATTTAGTGAAACATGTGAGCTTGGAAGGAAAAACTATGAACATTTTGAGCAGTTGGACCTATAGCATGGATGTGTCTCAATAACTCTATAGGTTTTTTTTCTAATGTTTTAAACCAATGTTCAACAGATAAAAAGTTATGAAATACACATTCATGGCAAAATATCCTTAAGAACACAAAAAATTTAAAATAAGTGCAGTATGTGTGTAAAATGTAAAATATGTGCAGTGTAAAATGGGATGATCAAAGGCAAGGCACCTAACCTGAGAGCTAAAAGTGAAAAAAACAAACAAAAAATTTACTTAAATCTCAATTAGGATATACAAAAGAATCAATACCTTGAAGAAAAAAAAAAAAGAAATCTATGCATTTGCCCTGAGGTGAAATGCTAAGGTGGGAACAGCTTCTATTGTAAGATGATGATATTATACCCCTGCATCTTATAAAAGAATATTCCATGATATTTTCTCTTTACAGGTTGTTTCATGTTTGCTTACATTATTCAAAAACATTTTGTATCTTCACCATCTAAATTGGCTGAAGAGGCATTGTCCAGAAATCTGTGAAGACAGTAGTGACTGAGTATAATATCACCGATTTGTAAGAGGTATGTTTGGTTTTGGAGTGGTGAAAGTTATGTCCCAAAAATTGCAGCATTGCCATCCCACACTTCAATAAAATATGTTTTAAGTATCTAGAAATCATGAGATTCACTTCAAAGCCATGATTTTGTAGTTTGGTGAGTACATTCGGTATGTCTGGTCTAGCAGGCAGTGTTGGTTTAGAAGTCACTTCCTAATGTTTCCTACAGTCATGAATTGAGTAGTTTTAAAAAAAACCCTGGCATTTAAAAAAAAAACCTGGATGATTTTACAGCCATATGACTCTAGGAATTGATGTTTAAGTATGCCACAAGGAATTCAGGTACTACAATAACCAGTGCTACTAGTGTACTGTTTGCTCACAGGATTTTAAATGCCACCCTGAAGGAGAAGGTTGAAGACACCTAAATTCTTCCTGCCAAGGCTGTTTTTGTTTCTTAGAGAGGTCAGAATGAAATATCCCTTCAGGTCATTTTTTTAAACAGCCAGATCACTTTAACCACCAGCTCTGACAGTAAAATGATTCATGTCTGTATAGAGAATAGTAAAGTTAAGACCTTCTGGAGAAGAAGCTACCTAAACTGTACTCTTGTCCCGCAGGGTTGTTTTGGTGGGGTTCTGCCCCAGGTATCTCTTCAGGTGGGGAAATGGAAATTTATCCTAGTTCCTGAAAGCTAATACTGATAATATGCCTTTTTATCCAGACTCATTTGTCTCTCTAGAGATCACCAGTAGTATTACTGATACCACAACTTTATATTGCTCTAGGCAGCTTGTCAGCTTTACTGATCCTAACAATAATGAATGTAGATTTTCATGTGGGCAGGAGGCAAAAGGGACTATCACCTGAAAGTTTCTGAAAAGGGAGAATAATGGGAACTGCCCCATAAGTGAGAGTTAATATGTGGTCTCCAAGAGCCCCAGCAAACTTTCCTGAGGAACAGCTGCAGAGCAAATAATCCCAGCACCAGATTGTTTCTCCAAAGTGAAATAATCAATGTGTCAATAAAAATGTGTAGGCTAAATGTACCATTGAGTACAGATGAGCCCCCTTCTTATTCCAAATAATAATGGTATGTTTTCAGATTTATGGTGTTGCTCCTTTCCTTCTCCTGCTCCATCACTTCACTCTTTCCCTCCCCTACCCTGATGGCAGATAATACATAATCCATAAGATGTATTGGTGTGGATATGATGCTGAGATGGGATTTTTGTTTCTTCATTCTTTTAGTAAGGGGATCTGAACAGACACATAGAGATAGATGGGTGAAGTGAAGTAGAATATTACTGAATAATCTTCAACCTTGAATGTGGAAAATGAGATACAGGATGCCTAATGTTTCATTGACATCCATGAAAAGAGACATGAAAACATCCAAACCTCTCTCAGTGGAAGAAAGTTAATGGGACCACATACAAAACCACAGCTCCAGTGAGAATGGTGATCCTGGCAGGACAACAGGGATCCCATCCATGCACCTCTCCTTGTGTGGCCACAGGGAGAATCAAGAAGAAAATCATGTTTGGTGAATTCTCACTGCAGTGCTTTCCTTCTATTCCTGTGCAGGAGGTAACATAGAACTCCATGTTTCTTAATTTCTGTAGTAATTTCATGATTATGTTTCCAAAAGAAAGGACGCCTTCTTATTTTCATAATTAACAGGAAATACATGTTATACATTAAATGTGGCACAAGAGAGATGAATTATGCAGTAAATTCTGTGTGCTGATCAGCACAAAGCCCAAGGCACATTCAGCAGAGTTGCTGTGAAAATCTGTAATGAGTTTCAAGTACATCATTTCCTGATGGAGGGTAAGAAAACATCCATCAATGCTAATTTTCCCACAGTTTTTAGCTTTTTATGAATACTTTACAGCTTATAAAAGAGATGAATTTCTAAAGTGCAACTTGAGGAAACTCTCTTAGTAATTAGAGAGTATTCCTAGCCAAAACTAATGAGGTCTGAACCTTAAACATGGGGATGGTTCAAAGTTGACAGCCCCAGCCTCCAATTCCTTCAAAAGGTCAAATTAATTCCTCAAAACGGAACATGGGTATTTTCTTTTCTAGTTGAATTTCAAACCTACCATTGTGCCTCCAAACATGCAGTATTTGGGTGTCATTCCTGATTCTCTAGTAGTTTTGTACAGGATTAAGTGGTCTGAAAAAGCAAGCTCCAATGAGATTGGGGCATCTTTACACCAAACTCAAGGATTTTGTGAAGTGTTGCTGACTTTGTAGTGGAGCACATGACCATGCACACAGCTCTGTTCTCCTCAGCTTCTGTCAAGATGTTACAACAGAGCTGTCCTGACATTTTAGAAGTGAGAAAATGGGTTTTAGATACTGGCAAGGAGGGAGGGACAACTTTTCTGATTAAGCAGTTGTCCATTTTATATTGAGAACTATCTACTTGGTTGCAGGCTTCAAAGAACACAAACATAATATCCGGGAATATTTTTTCCAGCTGATGTATGTTTTTTACTTAGTGATAAAACATTAAATATATTAATTCCATGGTTAATTAAAAATAAGTATTTATATGTTGTATAAATAACAAACATAAATATATTAAATAGAAAAAAATTGTACCTGCTCTACCAAGGTGCTTAACACCTTAAAACTCTGGTGTTTTTAGAGAGTTTAAGGGTTATCACGTTGAGTTGTGAAGAGCTTCAATATGTGAGGAGGGTAAAACTTCTTATTAAAATTTACCCTCAGTGGGAGCATCAGGTTGTTGTTTTACTGCATGTGTATCCTGATTATGTCCTTCAGTTATGTTAAATGAAAACTCTCTCAGAGGAGATCACCACTCTTATTCAATAAGAAATTAAGGGTTTTTTTCTGAGATAGAATTTAAAATCACTGTTCAGGTTTCTTAACAGAGACTACTTTCCAGCACCTGTCACTTGAATTAGAAGGCTTTTCAATATCCAGAGCATATTTATTTGATGAATCCCAGAATAAAAAGCCGTAACCTGAACAGCCTCAGGGCTGAAGTCTGAACAGCAACAAGCAAGATAATTTCTCATATATGTGAATAAATTGAAGCTGTGCTTACAGAATCTAGAGCCACTTGAATTCTGCAAGACAATTCTCATTCTTCAGTGTTACATCAGTTCCAAAGCAGAGCTAGTTTCAGTTTTTGTCAGCATTTATACTCATAGTTACAGATTTTTGTTCACAAATGTGTTTCAAGGAAGAACTGTACCTTCATGAGGTGCAGCTTTTCATGACCAACAATACTGCAGAGACACATTCATCCTCTCTGAAACATTTCAGCTATTCGGACAAGACAGAAACAATTCCCTGTGACTGCATGACTAAGTTGTGAAAAGTAAACAAACACTCTGGATTAATCTGGTTTCTACAAAGAATTTAAGTAATGAAATTTTTTTCACCCTAATTAAGCAGTGATCATTGTGAATATTCAGACAAAGAAGGATAGATTCTTTCATGTGTTGTTATTATGAAATAAGAAAGGCTAATTTATTCTTGCTTAAGGTAGGCAAAAATAAGTTGTTGAGCTCTAGTCCTAATACAAAATTATTTTATGATCCAATAAGGGATGGGAATATAACACTGAATATCATTCACTTATCTTTGTAGCAAACAAAACTTTTATAGTCTAACTCTACACTCATTTCCCTGCTCAGTAGTTAGCTTGTCAAGTGTTCACATTGGACCTTAAAATGAGTTAGAAAGCTCAGGAGTATATCAACATTTGCAGCATAAAACTGTCTTCTCTTTGATCATTCAAGCTTTCTATCACTCTAGGTGGTCCTAACTAATAAGGAACTGTGATCCTCTTCACTACTTGATTCCAGTAGCCACACAACAGACCACATGCAGTTAATGCTTGCCATTAGTGTTTCAGTCAAATACCAACACTTATCTACAGATTTATGATCCTTTTAATTACATATTTATAAATCATGCCACTATATGTATGGGAAAAACTGTCTCTTTTAAGGATTTGAAGATTCTTTATCTTTTTGTTTGGGATATTTTTTCCCCTCAAGACAAAAACCTGTGCAAGTTTTTAAATGTATCTGATATGTGTTATTGAGTAGGGGCACTGCTCTACATTCTACCTGAACATGAACTATGAAAAATAGAACTCTGATTTTCTCCAGCTATTTCTATGAAGTTCTTTGTATAAGGATCTGGTTTACAAATCTGACATACCTGTGCAATGCCCAAACTGTCAGCATTCAGTCCCATATCTGTGCTTTAGCAGCTCTTGTTTGCAGGGTTGCAGATGCCGAGCACTAACAGCTCTTCTCACTTTTTGTGCTGAGAACTCTGAGAAACATACCTGCAGAGAAGGAAGGGACAGCTCAGAATCAAACACATGCTTCTGGTAAAGCTCTTTTCCCAGGCAGCTATTCCATGATAAGTTTAATATAATTCTGAATTCTTTGAACAACACAGAACACCATTTAATGTGTCCTGTCCCAATAAAGGAGAAACTGAGGCTATAAAATAACAGTCCCATGGAACAGATACCCAGGTGTGGGCAGAGATGTATGTATGTCTTGTTTAGGTATTAGGATTTAATGACAAATTAGAAGGGCTGATAATGAAATTCTTGTGATGAAAATTAATTCTGAATAGAGTTAAAAACAGTTTTAACCAGGCAAATCCTCCTCAAATGTCTATCCTGTGAATATATATTAAAAAAAACTGCTAAATTTGAGATTTTTGAGGATGAAGATGTTGCTGAAGGGAAACTTTGTTTTGTAACTGATCTCTATGAAGCTTTAGGCTCTGTCTTACTTTGATTATACGTTGTTTGGCTGAACTCATAATCTTAGAAAATATATATCTGTTATTGGGTCATGGTCAGCTATGTAAGTTAAAGCAAGTCCTTGTAATGCATAAATAATTCCTATTTTAAAGGTTTATGATAGTAAACCCCTGTCCCCAAATGTTGTG